GGAAAGAGGGGGGCGGCGGCTAAATCTGAATGTGCATATAACAATGAAGGGGTTTCTGAATTGTTAAATTGCCCCCTCAAAATGACTTCACAATGGCCCTCTTCCAACGTTTTCTTATTCATGTGAACATCGCTCCTCGATTCAGCCCAATCGCCAAATAGAAACCATTTTTTATCAAACTATTTGACGTTCAAAAACAATATTCTTGAGCAGGGTATGTATTCTGTTCCTTTCTCTCTTTATTCCATAGTCTTCCTCCCCTGTTTAATCTTGCCTTTTCGCTCTCTGCTCTATCGATTCTTTGGCTGATTTTGTATCTTGCTCAAACCTTTTCTAAGGCCCCTTTCAATGAGATTTAGGAGGCAAACTTGATAACAAATCCTCCGGTTACGACAATTTCGGAAGAGGGCCACATCAATAATAATACTTGGGATATCAAAAGACGCGTCCGAGTCTTTCGTAACAAGGCTGCACTTCGCAAAATCATTTTTAAACATACTTTTTGATCAAAGAATGTCACGGCGACACAGGAAGAGCTCGGCGATGGGAACCTCGCTTTGGGTGGTATGGTATGGGTTTGGCGCCCATTTCAACGCTGTAAGGCTGTATCAGCCGCCGGGACTCGGACTTGACAGCTCATCTCCGATAAGAGCGAACCCACGACGCAGACATTCAAGAATGCTCCGATTGGTTCATCTGCACATCCAGCATGCTATAAACTGAGCTAATAGCAAGCCTCACCTTTGTTGATATGTGACAGCAGCCAACAAGAATAAAAACAACCCTAACTCACACAGCAAACATGGTTTTTTAAGTAGAGAAGAAGCACATTGGCACAATAATGGCCTCCTTGCTCTTGGAAAAGGCAAATGAAACAGGAAAAACAAGAGAGAAATGGCAAAGAAAGACGGTAGACCAGTGGCACTCTCCTACTACTTCTGATCAGAGTCTTTCCCTGTCCACGAATCCATTCCTCCCAACCTTCAAACATTCAGATGTAATGGAGATCAGAGTCTGAGTGTAATGGTAAGAATCTACGACTTTCCATGCAAAAGACTGCGTGGAGAATATTATAAGTAAAGAGTTCATTTTCTGAGAGGTTGTATCCCCTTCAGCCTTGGCATAGTCAAAGAAGCAAGCCACCTAAACGGTCTAAATTTTGTCTTTGTGAGTGTGAAAAATCTACCGTCATTTTAGAGAGACAAGGCGGTCTCTAAACTTTTCATCCGCCCACGTCTCTAATGCCCCCTTCCCCTTCAAAACCAACCAAAAGCTCATTCACATTATTTTCAACAGAGTTATCGTCTGCCCACAAGAATCAAAACCCTCAGCATTCCCTCAACTCACACAGCAAACATGCAACTCTCTCTCTCT